CCACTTGGCAACATTTGAAAGAGGAAGTACTCGTGCTATGAAGACATGTTATAATGAAGGTGGTGGGAGATACGAGTGAAATCATGTCTCCTCAGAGTCCTTTTTCAGTGATAAATGGAATCCTTCCAGGGAGACACATTCCCCAAGTGTCATTCCAGTTACTGATTTAAAATCTGAGGCAAAAGAAGTCGTTAGAGCCAGTTGAGTTTTGGTGTGGTCAGTCTCTCTGCTGCCAAGCCAATAATTGTCTCCCTCATAATCTTAACTAATCTTAAAACTCCTTAAGAAGGACCCAAGGTGGCTCCCATCATTAAAAGACAATATTGAGTGTACAACCATCCTCACAGCCATAGTAGCCTCTTTCTCTATGAAGTGGTCTAATCCCTTTTCCTGTCTGTCCAATATGTTGCATAATTCCTCTCATGGTTCTAATTCCAATGCACCTCAACTTCCAGCGTTAATACCTCATGGGAGCAAAACCATTCCATCGTTCTGTAAAGCAATGGGTGAAGAATTACTTCTTTCCAGAGCCCTGGTATTAACAGAAAGGGAAGAAACATCCCCTTCACTTTTCTAATCAATGCATGTTTTGTTTTCTAAGCCGTGGGCACACAATACATAGTCTGAAGCTCCAGCATATAATACTACTTATCAGAAAACATGGATGAAATACTCTTTTGGTGCTGTGGTGAGTCTAAAGACAGCCAGGGACAGAGGTTGAGCACAGTCAAGGGGAGAGATAAAAACATCCCCATATTTCTCTGACACTAGGCCTTGCCATCTAGACACAATAGCATGATTCCAAACGCCATAGTATAACTGTCTGGATACAGAGAAGGCCTCATATCTCTTTGCTTAACCACACTGCTGGAGACTCTGATGTTGTGAGGGTTGTGGATTTTGCTCTGAGTTTAAGTCCCATTTAGCACATGGGGTTCAGAACCTCCAATAACCCTTGTGAAAACAAATGGAATCTAAGCGCTCAAGCGTTCATCCTTTACAACACACATACACAGTTGTACCAAGAAGGCGATTTCATGTATGAGAACAAATGACATTTGAAGGATGCATCCAAATGTTTTTATTGCACTGAAACAATTTCATGGAAGATATAAAAAAACATACAAGTGGGTTCACCCCTCTTTGTTGAAAAGCAAGAAGATAATCCATTTAATTTCATTTGTAGCATAATCTTTATCCATATGAATTATTCAAAAACACCAGGAACAATCAAAATTATAAGAACATGGACTGGTATGATATACCAGATACAAGAAACCTGTAACTGCTTATACTCTGGTTTCTCTTCAGACTATATAAATCTTTCACCTTGTTTATTATTATTGTTGTTGTTATATAAATATTACAGTACTTATCCTTAATATTTATCCAAATTGTTCCCACGGTTAGAAAACACAATTTTTTCTGTTTTAGAACCCTCCTTTATATTAACCTTACATCCTAGTTATCAAGAGGGAGGTTCTACCTTCTTCTGATCCCTATTTTGTCGACCAAAAGAGATTGAACCAATACATATTGACAGGAGAAGGTTGGTCATGCTCTCTGCCTCCATTGTAGGTCAGCTTGCCTGAAAAAGGATGGTTCTCACGAGGAATTCAATGTAGATGCCGTAGATCCTTTTCATTCCCTGTTGCTTCAGTAAACATACCTAACTGTGTAATATAAAACTTGGAAAGGTATCCATGCTAGTCCTCTTCCAGTGGTGCCTCGCATAACGATGTTAATAAACCGGTTATTCCAATTGGAACGGATTATCCGGTTTTCTCCCTCCCCCCGCGGCTTGGATCTGACCCACGGCGGCTACCTCAGCCATGGCTGGACTCCCTAGAGTCCGGCCATGGCTGGGCTGGGCGCTGCGGCTCGGATCCAAGCTGCGGGGGGAGGGGGGTGGGATCGGGATGCCTTTCAGGCATCCCGGGCTTGGATCCCACCAACCGCCGGTTACCCTTTAAGCGGCGGGGACAGGCTGGGGTATGTGGAATGATATAGTAGAAACGGCCTTCTTGTGACTGCCTTGGCTAGATGTTTGTATCAGATTGAAGATCACGATGCCATAAGACAGGACAATGAAGGAGACATTGCCTAAAAAGAAAACATTCATGAAGATCTGACAGATAAACGGCACGTTTCCAAGTGGAGGGCAAGCCAGGGACAGGATTGGACCAAGATCACATAAAAAATGATCAATGGCACTAGGCCTACAGAAAGACAACTTGGAGATCAAAATTATGGGGACGGGGTACCAGAGGAAGCCAATAACCCAACAAGCAGCGACCATGGCATGACAGGAATTTATTGACATTATTTGGGGGTAATGGAGTGGGTGACAAATAGCTAAATATCGGTCCAAAGCCATGATTGTTAGAAAAAAGCATTCAGTGTTACCAAGTGAGAAGAAGATGTAGAACTGAATGAAGCAGGCATGGAAGGAGATAGTTCCATGAGAAGAAGCCATATCAAGGAGCATCCGAGGCACCGTGGTGGTCACATAGCACATCTCCAGCCAGGAGAAGTTCCTCAGTAGGATGTACATGGGAAGCTGGGACAAGTGACCATCTAGGCACACAACTGCAATAATGGTGATGTTCTCAGCCAACGTGAGGACATAAAGAGTTGTAAAAAAGATGAGAAGCAGGAATCGTCTGCGTGGCTCAACTCCAAA